GATAAAATTATGACATGACAGTTTAAACCACGCCCTAACATAATATTTATTTTAATTACAAATATTTTTTAAAAAATAATTTATAAAAGAAAGCAAATTTTGTCTTTTTAAAAGAAAATGTCTATTTTTACTTTAAAAATTAATAACGTAAATGTTACCTCAGTTCATGTCAGCACATGTTAACTTAAACTTTTGAACAACTGGCTAATTTCTGCGGGGTATCTAACTGCACATCAACGGAAAGCTTTATTGGAAGCTGAAACTGGCACATCCAAATCAAAACTGCTTCAATATCATTCTACGTGGGGTAAAAGGCATCTCGGAAAGGAACTGGATTTCTCAAAAAACGAAAAACAAGCAGGAACTAAACTCGTTCACTTCTCAAACATTATAAATCTTCAGCAAAATCAAAACAGTGGTTAGTGGTCACTCTTTCAGAAACGACATATTACATAGAGTGAAAATTCCACCATTTTTGGCGAATGAATGCCGGCTTACAACATCACAATTAAAACGACCTTTCCCTTCGAGCAAATATTCATCACTCACTTCGCTTGACCCTCTCGATCTCAATCTGCCGGATAGATACCGCCTCTTTTCCCCGCACAAAACCATTGCCATCTTGTCAAATCAACAAATTCTTTACTCAAACTCGTTCAAACTTCCGGCGTTACTGCGCTTTAGAAAAAATAATACCAAGGTTGCAATATTTTTCTGGGAACGTTGAAGTTAAAAAGCCATAAATTGTTTTTTTTAGCAAATACGTCTTTATTTATTGAAGAATTATTGCGTATTTAAAAATCTCTACAGACAACACATTTCTAGCGTACCAGGGGCGTACTATATAGAATCGAATTTATATTATTATTTAGACATTAAATATAAAACGCTACAGTGTTACCAGTGGTAACAGACTAAATATTTGGTTACTTTTTCTTTTTGTTTATTTTATAATCATTGTAGTTAATAAAAGTATTAGATATTGTTGATTAATTGGCAAAACCACATAATATCAAATAAGCTTAATCGTATCCGTTTATAATAGTTAAATAAATTCTAATTCAGACAAATAAAATTGTGTTGCATATTGGTTTTTGGTCCAATGCATATGCGTCTGGCCTCGTATATATGTACTTTAAATTTATCGATTTGAGATGATTTTTCTACTTTTATGAAAGTATGCCTAGGAAAATATAAATATCTAGGTTTATAATATATTCTCCAAAATGAAAAACCTCTTCTACCGAAAACTTCATAACGGACAAAGTTTAACCCAATTATATAATCAATCTGAGATATATGTAGTTAATGTACCTATATTGTACTTGAATACTCGAGAATAACTAGAACCAACTTACAAAAACTGCAATATATTATTATAACATGCTCAAAAATAGAGATCCGCATAACTATTTTAAGAAAAAATTCAAGAAAACACTCAATATCCATAAAAAATGTTTACTTGTTACAAGAGGATTTACACGGATTCTTTCAGAAAAGCTAAGTAACATGAAGCAAACATATGATCAAGAAGGATTGCTCCTCAATATATGTGAAACCTTTAACAAGAACAGAGAAGAACATCTAATAAAAAATAAAGAGAAGAGAAAACGTTGGATGAATGACAATATACTGTGATTCATAGAAGAAAGAAGAAAATTAAAGAATAACAAAAGAATGTACAAAATATTCAGAGGCAAATAAGAAGACAATAACAAATGTTAAGGTCCTCAGAAAGATGACAAAGGAAATGGAAATCATGAATACGATTAAGATAAGAAAGCTACAATACCTCGGCCACGTTATGAGAGGGGAAAAATATGTGTTGCTACAAACCATAATGCAGGGAAAAATACAGGGAAAACGAAGTATTGGAGGAAGACGCATCTCCTGGCTCAACAATCTGAGAAAGTGGTATAATTGCAGTTCCTTCGACTTATTCAGAGCTGCAATCTCAAAAGTGAAAATAGCTGTGATGATTACCAACCTCCTTAGAGGAGACGGTACCTAAAGAAGAAGATAAAAATCAGGTTACTACGATATTATATCTTTCCTATATTGTTGTACGCAGTTAAGTCATGGACTCTCACAGACGATGCCTGTAAGAAAATTGAGGCTCTCAAAATGTTACTTTATCGTAGAATCCTGAAGATATCCTATACCGACCACGTTACTAACCAGGACGTTTTATTAAGAATGCAAAAAGGAACAGAGTTGTTAATCACAATAAAAATAGCCAAAATTTAATACCTCGGTCACATTATGAGGAACAGCGAAAGATATGGGTTGCTGCAATTAATTCTTCAAGGAAAAGTAGAAGAAAAACGAGGACCAGAAAGGCGAATAATTTCCATGCTGTTAAATCTACGTACGTGTTTCAACACAACAACCACAAATCTTTTCAGAGCCGCAGTTTGCAAAATACAGATTGCCATGATGGTTGCCAACATCCGAAACGGATATACACTACAAGAAGAAGAATCTGTGCTTTAATTGAGTAGAAACGTGGCCCTTACAGAAAAAATAGTAAAAAATATCAGCATTCGAAATGTGGTGTTGCCGAAGGATGATGCGTAGCTTTTGGACGCATCGAGTTACCAACAAAAATGTACAAAGAATAGGTCAAGACCAAAATGCTGCCCAGTAAAACATAGAAAACTTTCATATTATGGACATGAGATGAGAAAAGATAAATACCACATTATGCAAGTTGTCATGCAGGGTAAATTAAAATGAAGCAGAGAGCCGGAAAGAGGACGGATCTCGTGGCTAAAAAATCTGAGACACCAATGGAAACTTTGGATGGAAAGACAGGAAAGCAGATACTCCAGTAAAGATAGTTCGAAATTAAGTAAATTGCCAAAAATTTAAAAATATGATCATATAAGTAAAAAAACATGCACGAATTAGTGCTTACTTGTATTAGAGTCAAAAGGCTTCAATTCGATTTGTTCTTGAAGTTTTGGTATTGATATGAGGAGAGGAGTCAGACAGAGAAGCATTTTATCCCCGCTTAAATTTTACCTATATTCGGAAACAAATGTTTTAACAGGCACTACAGGATAACTCAATTGAAGTTAAAATTAACGGTGTCGTTAATAACTAGCGACACGCAGATAATACGGTTGTCCTAGAAAGTAGAACCGTATTGGACAATGATAATGACTTGTCATTAAATGTATGGTTAGCCGTTAACAAATTATTAGATTGCATTTCAAAGACATGGAAAAAATACTGTTTAGAATTATACAAAGATACTTCAAAAGATGCATTAGTCTAGAACACAAGAAACATGCACTCAGAGAGGCAGTACCAATAATCTTACATGCAGATATAGAGAAGGCTGTCAACCAACTAAGAAACAACAAATCTCCAGGGATCGATGACATACCAGCGATGACTCTAAAAGCAAATATTGGCTTAGATGTAATACTATATATATGTAACATGATATGGATCACAGATAAATGGCCTGATGAGTGGCGCGAATCAACCTTTATCCCTATTCATAAAAAAGGATCAATACGCGGCAGCAATTACGGAACATTGCCCTTATTCCTTATTCGAGCGAAATCCTGTTACATATAATCAATTAACCGCTAAAGAACTTTATACTTCCAGAGATAGCTAAAGAGCAATGTAAATTCGTACTAGAAAATGGAACGTGGGAGAAGATATTGGGCACCAGACAGATAATAGAAAACGCGAGGGAACACAACATACCAATGCTGCTTTGTTTCGTAGATTACACAAATGCTTACGGTTCAGTGAAATGGGATCCCCCTGGAGTATAATGGAAAATATGGGAGTACCTAACCACCTAGTTAACCTAATAAGATATCTGTGTGATAAAAACTCAGCCAAAGTTAAAATACACGGAATATATTCAGATGGGTTAGAAACAAAGAAAGGGAACTAGGCAGGACTGCATACTATCACCATTATTATACAACATATATTCTGAATATATGAGAAAAGTACTAGACGAATGTAATGGAGGAATCAATATAGAAGGTAGGAAAATCATCTGCGATATGCAGATGACACACTTATACTTGCGGCGAATGAAGTCGAAATTATTACCTTCATCGAACGGTTAAGCCCGATAAGCGAAGAATTGGGACTTCAGATCAACACCGGAAAACAAGATTGATTGTAGACACAGCAAATAATCTACAGCACATACACCAAGCGGCGAATTTCGAAATGTTAGACAGATTTGTATACTTGGGCTCCCTAATAACCAACAATGGCGATTATAATCAGTACTCAGAAATCAGGCTCAGAAATCAAGCGAAGACTAGCAATTGCCCGAACCGCAACAGCTAAATTGGTTAAAATATGGAAAGATCGAACAATAATAAGGAATATTAAGCCAGGTTGGCCAATGCCCTTATTTCTCCCATTATGGACTCTCAAAAAATCCATAGTAGTAAGGTCGAAGCTTTTGAAGTGTGTCCTGTCAACCTGTCAATCCTAGAAGAGCTTCATATAAGGAGAGGCTATTAAAAAAAGTAAACCGAGCATGCTTAATGTACCTCGGCCACATAGCTAGAAGAACAGGAACCGTGTAAGTATTGGTAGTAAAAGGAGAGGTAGAAGGGCGAAGACGAAGAGGAACATCTCCAACACGATGGGCTAAACGAATGAAGACTCTTATGGTACATGAAGCCGTCCGTATGACACAGGATAGCAGCAAATGGAGACAGCAAGCTAACAATATTTAAAGTATCACCATGCTCTGACAAGGGCTCAAGGAATGCGAAGGAGGTACTTCTAGACATTGCTGTCAGAAATTTTTACCAAAAAGATCATTTTTTCTTAGTATTGATTTGCTTTCGTTTGTATGCCTGCATTGTTTCCATTATCTATCTCTAGAGCCAAATTTCATATTAGCTTTTCATCTATCATCCAAATTCATAACTGTATGATTGTTTTAATAAATTTATATTAATAATGATAAGTTTATAAACTTAAAATACATCCTTAATGACTTTTAGGTATTACAAGAACTGCAACGCCAATACATGTCTTTAAAGTTTGGATGTACCTCAGCTCTTTCTCCAACATCCGAACATCCTCTACAAGATATTGATAGTCCTAGTCCTATTAGGCCTTTACATACTGGGTCTACATCTGCTTTATACTCTCCCACATTACAGGTGATTTATTGTATTATGATACGTGTCAATAAATATGTTTTTGTTAGTTTGTTAATTTATTATGTTTAATATAAGGAAATGGTTTTATTTTTTATTATAATTATTTCACTACGCTCGTTCAGATTTTGTAGGCAATGAAATATCAAGAGGTTGGTGTAATGTATGTTATAATTTTTTTTAAATAATTATTTTTTTTATTATGTTATATAATAATTTTTTATACATGAAAATTTGCAACTTAGCAAAGCTTTTTATTCCAAAATAGATTGTTCGCGTATCATTTTATACATTATAAGTCAAAGATGTCTGCAACAGGTACCGTTCATACATATAGAGATGAATTAGAATATAGAATATAGCATATAGAATTTTGAATATCTAGTATTTCGGCAGCATGGAAAAATTATCTTTGGTAATGTCCGAATACACAATCGAAGATTCGACTAAAGTGTAGTGTGGCTATAAATAAACCCGTTAATCTTATCGGATATAACGTTTGGTAGAAGCATTATTCAAATCATGAATATGTTGCTTGTGTGAGTCCGTTTCAAATAGGTAAAGAAATAATAAATAAGACTTACTCACAATCAATTTAATTTAACTATCAGACGACCGGTTTCGCTTTCTACAATATGCAAAGCATCTTTAGGTCTCAATACAAAGTTAAATAAATGAGTACCGGCATAATTAATAGAGTACCGGCATCATTTATTTAACTTTGTATCGAGACCTGAAGATGCTTTGCATATGGTAGAAAGCGAAACCGGTCGTCTGATAGTTAAATTAAATTGATTGTGAGTAAGTCTTATTTATTATTTCTTTACCTATTTGGTAGAAGGTTTGAACATTGCATTTTGTTTATTTCGAAAAAATATACAGTAGATCTTCAGTCTTCTTCTTCTAGTGCCGTCTCCAGTAGTGAAGGTTTGCTAGATCCATTGCAAATTCGTCTCTATCTTCAGCTTTTCTTAAGAGCGCCTTTGTGTTTAACCCGGTCCAGTCACGAATGTTTTTCAGCCAGGATATTTGTAGTCTACCAGGACCTCTTTTTCCTTCGATTTTTCCCTTCATAATCAGCTGCATTACCGGAATAAGTAATCTCCCACTTGTTGGTCAACAGCTTAGGGTGGAAGAGCTGACAAGTAGTGAGGCACTTCAGTGCTCTGGAGTTGAGAAATTGGCTCCAAAGGCGGAAGAATTAATTTGAATTAGTCAACCGCATTGGAATACAGAAGGCAATGGGAAACCACTGCATTAAAGGCTTAACAGAGCATCTTTAGTAAAATCACAATGGACAGTACAAACACAGAATTGGCCCTTAGTGCCGGGCACTCCTTTAATGGGGAGAGGGTGCTAAGAATCCCCCGGAGGAACAAAATATTAGCAAATGCAACAAAAAGAATTGGAACCTGGAACGTCCGAAGTATGTTAAGGCCAGGATAAGGCCAACATCATAAAAGAAATGACACGACTTAATATAGATATATTAGAGTGCAGCGAGGTTAGATGGCCGAACAACGGTAAAATCGAATCATACGAGCATCACATATACTATTCAGGTGATAACACAACAAATAAAAGAAATGGCGTTGCAATTATTATTAGGAAAGAACGGGAAGATGCGGTTGTAGGATTTCTCCCAATCTCGGATAGAGTAGCTTTGTTGTAAATAGCTCAGAGCAGGAGATTGAAGAAGAAGCGATGCGAAAAGAAGAAGTCAGTATAATCATAGGAGACTTTAATGCCAAAATTGGAAAGGGTACAGTGGAAGGCATAATAGGAGAGTATGGATTGGGTATACGGAATGAAAGAGGCGAACGACTGATACAATTTTGTCAAGAAATAGATAATGCAATCATGAACAGCCAATTCAAACTACCAGCTAGAAGGCTATATATCTGGAGGTCTCCGGCCGATAGCCCGCAACAAATAATTAGAAATCAAATAGATTATTTTCTACTAAATAAAAGGTTTCGTAATGCGGTTACTTGAATAAAAACCTATCCTGGAGCAGATATCAACTCCGACCATAACTTATTGCTTGCTGAACTGAGAGTAAGGATGGAAAAAATGTTGAAAGTCGGGCGTTATAAGAACGGTGGACATACAAAAACTGAAACAAAGCAACGTAAAACAATAAATGCAAGAAGAAATAAACACAAAATTTAACGACATTGCACATAATAGGAAAGATATTGATACAATGTGGAACGAGATAAAAGATGTATTAGTAACAACAACACTAAACAACATCAAACAGTAAAGACAAATAAAACAACCATGGATGACACCTCAGATTTTAGAGCTTATGGACCAAAGAAGAGAGTTTAAGAATAAAGACGCAGAAAACTACAAGGAACACCACAAAAAGGTACTTAAAGAAATAAAATTGGCAAAAGAATCCTGGCTGTGAGAGAAATGCTTAGAAATAAAGATCCTACAGAAAAAAACATGATATATTCAATACATACAGGAAGATCAAAGAAATGGCAGGAATTAATAGAATAACAATGCCCACTGCACTGTTTGATAAAGATGAAAACATACTATTTAATACGCAGGAAAAACTGGTCAGATGGCAGGAATATATAGCAGAACTGTTCAGTGACAACCAACACATTGAAGTATATGGCAACGTCGAGATTGGACCAACAATAACAAAATCTGAAGTAAGATCTGCTATAAGTCGTCTAAAAAACAACAAAGCGCCAGGACGTGATGGAATATATGCTGAGGTATTGAAATTGATAGAAGACAATCAACTTGACATTAAGACAGAATTATTTAACCGTATATATGAAACAGGAACTTTACCAAAAGATTGGTACATGTCCATATTCATACCACTGCCAAAAAAAGCAAATACTAAGAAATGTGAAGAACACCGAATCATTAGCCTCATGAACCACTCACTCAAAATATTCTTAAACATCATCCATGCTAGCGTATACAAGAAATTGGAGGAGGGTATTGCTGATGTACAATTTCGCAGCGGTCTTGGCACAAGAGAAGCACTTTTTCGCATACAAGTATTGATACAACGAGCAAGAGATGTTAATACAGATGTCTTTGCCTGTTTCATTGACTTCGGAAAGGCATTTGACAAAGTACAGCATGAGAGGCTTATTGAAACTTTGCGAATCGCAAACATCGATAACAAGGATATAAGAATAATAGCCAATCTCTATAGAAAACAAGTAGCCAAGATTCGAGTAGACAATCAATTATCCGATGAAGTCCCAATACAAAGAGGAGTACGACAAGGTTGCATACTCTCACCTTTGCTGTTTAATGCATACTCTGAACATCTATTTCGAGAAGCTTTGGGAGAAACGACTGATGGAGTGATTATTAACGGTGAAGTAATAAATAATCGTAAGATATGCAGACGACACTGTCCTTGTTGCGGATAGTGCTGAAGGATTTCAAAGACTGATAGATCAAGTAGTTAACATCGGTAGAAAATATGGAATGAAACTTAATAATAAGAAGACGAAAATTATGATCATAAGCAAAAACCAAGATACAGATGCAAAGTTTATGGCAGACAATGAGATATTGGATAGAACAGAAAAAATAACATACCTAGGATGCAACGTCACAGATAGCTGGGATCAATCATACGAGATTAAATGTAGGATCGAAAAAAAGCAAGGAGTGCCTTCCAACACATGAAGAAAGTTCTCTGCAATTTAAACTTCCGACTCAAAATCCTTAATTGTTAGGTGTTTTCTGTTCTTATGTATGGAACAGAGGCATGGACACTCACTGATGCGTCTTGCAGACGGTTGCAGTCTTTCGAGATGTGGTGCTATCGTCGCATGCTCAGAATATCTTATGTACCGGGTGGTCCAATAAGCCGATCTCTCGGCTATATATCAGAAACTATTCATGTTATAACTTTAGGAGAAAAAATTCCTTAGTAAAAGTGGCCAAGAGAAATCGCTGGAAATAACTTTCAAGATTCTGGATTAACCGCTAGGGGGCGTAACCTGCGAAGAAAATTTTGAAAACCAGTTTTTTTGGGAAATATGTCCAATTATACCAAGTGTTAAATAAGTAAACTAGAAAGAGGCCTAAATTCCGCACAAAGTTGTTCAAGTACTTTTTTTTATTTTTTCAAATAAAGGGTGGGGGAGAGTGGGAAAGTATTTGTGGATAAATACCTATAACTTTGGTTTGGATCAACCGATTTTAACAAAATTAGTGTCATTAGAAAGAGTATGGATGAATTAATTTACATCTACTATAAAATAATTGCATTTAGTTTTAATTGTCGTAGGTAGAGGCTCCTTTCGAATAGAAAAAATTAAAATTTGTTTTTCTTCAAAAATTTTAATGGAAACACCTATTTATTGTAAAGTATAATGAAACTTGATTAAATTCGTAACAAAATGGAGCAAACCGCATGTTAATAGCTTTTATCGAACTCGAGATATGAATAAAAACGCATAACATAAGTAAGTATAGTATTGACCCACCCTGTATTATAAAATAAATTAAAAAATAAGTCAGTAGGTACTTTCAAAATTTTTTATAGCAAAAAACTCTTAATGTTGATACCTATTGTGACCATCGTTATTTCATATGATTAAAAATTGTTTTTTCGAAACTAAGTAGGCTACGACAATGAATTTGACAGGGAGTTCATATTGTTTATTTATTGACAGCAGTCAAAATATTGTTAAGAAGTGTTATATGTATTAAAATTCGAATTGAAAATTGCATTTTTTTTAATAGATATTAATATTGGTAATATTAGTAATTAATTATCAGTACTAATAATTCGTAATGAGTATATCAAATTGTATGATATGATTGGAGTTTATTTCGAATATCACCAAAATGGCGCTATTGCCTCACGTATATATTCTGTAAGATATCCTGGCAGGAGATATTGTGGCAAAGAAGTAGAGTTTTCGGACTACTTATATGTGGATTCTGTTGAATTAAAGCAAGAACATTGATTGAATTATCTTCGGTCATAACTCTACTACGTCGTTTAAAACAAGGACGAGAAAAACTACCAGTTTCTCTTAATCTTTTTGCCTTTCTTTCAAATACTTCTTTGCCATAATGTCTCCTGTCACGATATCTTACAAAATATATACGTGAGGCAATAGCGGCATTTTGGTGACATTCGAAATAAACTCCAATCATATCATACAATTTGATATACTCATCACGAATTATTTGTACTGATAATTAATTACTAGTATTACCAATATTAATATCTATTGAAAAAAGTGCAATCTTTAATTCGAATTATAATATAGCACTCCTTAACAATGTTTTGACTGCTGTCAATAAATAAACAATATGAACTCCCCGTCAAATTCATTGTCGTAGCCTACTTAGTTTCGAAAAAAACTATTTTTTACAAAATAGGTATCAACATTAAGATTCTTTTGCTATAAAAAAATTTGAAAATACCTACTGACTTATTTTTTAATGTAATTTATAATACAGGGTGTGTCAATACTATACTTACTTATGTTTATGAGTTTTTATTCATATCTCGAGTTTAACAAAAGCCATTAACATGCGGTTTGCTCCATTTTGTTACGAATTTATTCCAGTTCCGTTATAATTTACAATAAATAGGTGTTTCCATTAAAAATTTTGAAGAAAAACAAATTTTAATTTCTTTTATTTGAAAGTCCCCTCTACCTACGACTATGAAAATTAAATGCAAGTATTTTATAGTAGATGTGAATTAATTCATCCACGCTCTTTCTAATGACACTAATTTCATTAAAATCGGTTGGACCAAACGAAAGTTATAGGTATTTATCCACAAATACTTTCCCACTCTCCCCCACCCTTATTTGAAAAAATAAAAAAAAAGTACTTGAACAACTTTGTGCAGAATTTATGCACCTTTCTAGTTTACTTATTTAACACTTGGTATAATTGGACATATTTCCCAAAAAACTGGTTTTCAAAATTTTCTTCGCAGGTTACACTCCCTAGCGGTTAATCCAGAATCTTGAAAGTTATTTCCAGCGATTTCTCTTGGCCACTTTTACAAAGGATTTTTTTTTTTCTTAAGTTATAACATGAATAGTTTCTGATATATAGCTGAGAGATCGGCTTATTAGACCACCCGGTACATCATATAACTAACGACGCACTAATGCAACGTTTACAAAAAGAACCTATAGTCATGAAATCCATTAAAGAGACAAAGTTAGCATACTTTGAACATATAGTGAGAAACGAAAATAAATACAGAATCCTACTATTGATATTAGAAGGAAAAATAGAAGGAAATAGAGGACCAGGACCCCGCCGAATATCCTGGCTTAAGAATTTAAGACAGTGGACAGGTATGACCACCACAGATCTATTTCGAACAGCTGCTAATAAAATACGATGAGTCATTGTGGTAGCCAATATCCATAGAGGATAGGCACTAGCAGAAGAAGAATCAGCTACAACAATTCGTACTTATCATGTCTAAGTATGTGACCCAAATATGCTTTATCTTTCGCCTTTTAATGGTGGTCAAAAGTTCTCTGTCTCTTCCCATTCTGTGCAACACCATTTCGTTCGCAATATGATCGGTCTATGGTATCTTCAAAATTCTCCTAAAAAGCCACATCTTAAAAGCTTTCAGTTTTCTCATAAAGTCAACATTAACAGTCTAGGCTTCGAGACCGTAAAGACGAATAGAGTGGATATAACATTTTACTGTTTATTGTTAAACCAAACTGTTCCCCAGCATCACAAATTGTGCTTAGTACCGTCTTCAGGTCTGTCTCACTTTCAGCTATAATGACTGTATCGTCAGCATAACGGATGTTATTTATATTTTCACCATTTATCTTGTAAAGGTCTTCCGTAGCAAGTGAAATATACTGGTCCCAATATTTTTTGGAACTTTGGAAAGGTGTTTACTCATCTCTAGATGCATCCTCTCTTGTTTTTACCAACTAGGCCATTTCAGTTGCTCACAATTCTTGGTTTCTTGCAACTGCATCTTAGTTGACCTACTTCGTCATGAGTCTACCGATTTGAATAAGTGTTTCTTGAGTAAGTTCTGTTTTTAAACCATTTCTTTCGTGCATTTATCGTTCCGTTCGTTTCTTCTCCAGGGATTCGAGTTTGCTTGTTCGAACCAAGGAGTTCTGGGTAAGTCAAACTTACCAAATTCATGCAAATTCTTGATTCTTGATTTAACGTTGATTTCTACTTCACAATTATGATTTGTATATTCTTTGTAGCTGAGCATATTGATATCGTTTTTTATTCGATTGAATAAGGTCAGATAACATACGTCTTGGACCTTAGAAGTCGATTTTAAAATGTCTGCCAGTTCTAATATCTATTGATGTATCGATTATCCTTTGATTCATTCTTTTTTCACTATCGGACCTGGACTTATTGCGATACTTTCTACCTAAGTTAATGATAGTTCTCTCGTTTGGATCCAATTAGTTATAATAATTTATATTTATCTTATGTTTTCTTCAAAACCATCTACATTTTTCTGGATTTCTTTGATATTTTCTTCATTTGTTTTAGAAGATTTTTCTATAAATGTAGAATCTTCCACTTTATTTTAATTAGTCTTTCCAAAAAAAATTTTCAACTTCTGATTGATCTTCTTTTCTTCAAACTTCTGCTTCTAGAGATTTTTAGAAGTTTCATCGATTTTTTTTCATGATTATGTCATTTGCTAACTGAGATTCGTATGTTTCTCTATCTTCTAAATTGTTGATGAATACTTCCTGCAATCATTCGCAAATAATCACTTTGACATCACTCAAATTTTTTGCGTAACTGCTTTACGGTAAGAAGTTTTAGCTGCATGTTTGATCGAAGACCCTCTAACTGTCAAATAAGTCCTAAAAATAGTCTGTACCACAAGCCAAAAAACTCTGGTTTGACACCACTGCAACATTAAATTAAATGCACGGACTGATTCACATATAATATTTACTTACAACGCTTATTTATTTGTACCATTTCTTCTTAAAATATATTTATATACTAAATATTACAACTAAAACCGTCCTGTTATGTATTCGATATATTGGCTGAATCACCAGGGTATTCGCTGTACCATAAGTGTTGGGTGGTGGCACACTGTGACGTAGGCGCTGACGTAGAACGTTCGAGATATACATAATTTAGAATATATGTCTGTAGAAAGTTTTGTATATTCATTATGCTCTTTATTTATTTTTAGGGTCATCAACGATTATCACCATTAAATCAAAATTTGTACAGATCAATGCCTTCCATTAATGTTGGTAAGTAGATTTATTCATATGATAGACTCTTTTATATATCCTAGTTTATATGTGCAGAATACTTAGCACCAAAGTTTTTAACCTTTCAGTAATAATTGAAAAATTAAGATAAATCGCACATACAAGTATTCTTATCGAACTGTGGCATGCAGAATTTCATCCGATAATTAAGACATAAATATTTAATTATATTTTTAATTTTTATAAAATATATATAAATAAAACCCATTTACCCTAAGGTGTCGGGTGGTTTTTTTTTTATAAAATACAAATTCAAAAAAATCATAATTACATTAAAATTTCATTGTAGATACAATTAATTCATCTTCTGAGAAACTTGTGTTACTGTCAGCATTGCCAATTGTAATTTCATCAATTTGTATCTGTTTATACATTATTTGGAAGAACGACGAAGACACAAGAATAACCAAGATGGCAGCAATATGTATGAAAACATTAACAGGCAAATAGAAGCAAAAATAAGAATAGCAAAAAATGAATGCCTTAAGCAACAATGTATCGATCTAGAACATTTACAACGACAGCACGACGACCGTAATTTACATAAAAAGCTTAAGAAGACTGCTGGAATATACAGAAAACGAAGACCAACTACCATAGTTAATCAGGATGACCAGATAGTGCTGGGTGAAAAGGAGAAAATTAATATATGGGAAAATTATATCCAGTAGCTCTTCCATGACGAAAGACCCATGAGTGAAGTTTATACATACGACCAGCTGACTGGCCCTTCAATCGCCAAAGAGGAGATAGGAAAGGCAATATTAAAATCAAAAAACAATAAGGCACGTGGACCAGATGAAATCCCGTCAGAAATACTCAAATTACTTAATGAAAGGGGAATTTCAGCACTACACAAAATATTTAACTTAATTTATGAAACTGGCTGCTATCCTCAACAGTGGTTACGCTCTACCTTTATTCCCCTGCCTAAGAAAGTCAATGCAAAAAGATGTGAGGATCACAGACTCATTAGCCTGATGAGTCACACTTTAAAGATATTCTTAAAAATACTACATCAAAGATTATACAAAAAATGTAAATGGGACATCAGTGACTCCCAGATCGGGTTTAGGCAAGGTTTAGGAACACGAGGAGCAATAGTAGCAACACAGGTGCTGGTCCAAAATTGTTACGATCAGAAGAAGGATGTGTTCCTATGCTTTTTGGATTACCAAAAAGCGTTTGATCGTGTCCAACACCACAAGTTAATGCAGATAAGTCAAGAAAGTTGATATAGACCAAAAAGACATAAGATGCATTGAAAACTTGTACTGGCATCAAACGGCACAGTTAAGAATAGACAATTCTATATCCAAACCCATACATATAAGAAGACATTTATTCGGAAGCCATATTTCAAGAGTCTTTAGAGGATGCAAAGATGGGAATCAAAGTGAATGAAGTATTGATCAACAACATACGATATGCTGATGATAGTGTCTTAATTTGTGACAACATAGTCGATCTTCAACAACTTGTCACTATAATCGGAGAATACAGTAAGCGAATGGGATTAGAGATTAATACCAAAAAAACCAAATTTATGACCATCTCCAGAAACTTGGATGCACTTGAAAACTCCACCATAACACTGAATACTAAGTCCATTGAAAGAGCGAGTAAATTTAAATACCTGGGATCGTGGCTTTTTGAAGACTGGGTATCGGACAGGGAAGTAAAATGTCGCATTGAGCAAGCTCGACAAGCTTTCGTAAAATTCAAGAAGGTACTGACTTGTCCAGAGTTCGATCTTCAGCTGAGACTAAGGTTTACTAAGTGCTACGTGTGGTCAGTGCTGATATATGGCGTAGATGGCTGGACACTCAAAACGAGGTATATAAACAGATTAGAAGCTTTCGAAATGTGTCTCTATCGCCGTATCCTAAAAATACCATGGACAGCGAAAATAACAAATATAGATGTTCTTAAATGAATAAACCAAGAACGCCAACTTTTCGAAACCATCAAGAAAAGAAAACGGCGTATCTAGGTCACATCATGCGAAATGAAAAATACCAGTTCCTCCAACTTATAATCGAGGGTAAAATTGAAGGCAAGGCAGGAATGGGACGCAAGAAAATGTCCTGGCTCCGGAACATAAGGCAATGGACAGGGATTAACGACATACAATATCTGATACATATTGCAAGAAATAGAGAATTAATGGAAAATGTGATCGCTAACAACCATTAGTGGATTTGCATCTGAAGAAGAAGAATACATTATTTTTGTTTTTCATTTGATGACAAATGACCCAAATCCACTCAACGTTTTTTGGCGGAGAAGGGCAATTACCACTGGTACTTGCCATTGAATTCATATTTTTTACTTAACTAAACTCTAAAGATAATAACGCAGCTGGATTAGATGAAATACCAGTTGAACTGTTCAAACTAGTGGAAGAGGATAACTTGGAAATATTGGCAGATTTATTCAACACGGTGTTGAATACGGGAATAATACCACAAGAGTGGCTGAAGTTAGCATTTATAACCATCCCTATAAAACAAGCAGCAAAAGAGACTAATGCGTCATTAGCGAGTTGTAAAATGAACTCTTTTTGATATAAATACAGACTAACATTAAAGAAATAACGCAGAAAACACAAAATATCGCCGAAATAATTTAATTAGCCTATGAATTTTAAATGTGAATAGTGTCATAATTTAGTGGAGTAAACTTATCTGCGGTTAGACCAATTACAAATAAGCATTAGGGCGCGATAAACTTGAATTACCCCTAGTTTAAAAACGACTTATATACTTGTACCACTACCATTAAAAACGATTCTTAACAATGAACTTGAAAATATGTAACCAAAGGGTCATTGAACCTGTTCATGAACATACAAACGGGTGTACTAGTATTGTAAAAAAGAAAAATGAGAACATACGCATCTGTGTAGATTTGTCACACTCAAATACGAAAAACATCATATCTGTGCCACATACTACGAAATGATAAATACTCTCTTCTACACGCAATTATGCAAGGAAAAGTACAGAGAAAAAAGGCTTGGAAAGAAAAAAGAAATTTTGGCTGAGGAATATCACAGATTGGACTAACCTCAGCGTTGAACAGATATTTTAAGTTGCAAAAGATAGGGAAACGTTTAAAGAAGTGATCGCCACCTTTCGCTATAAGACGGCACATAAAGAAGAGAAGAAGAAACAAAAATGTTAGAAGCGAAAATTAACCAATTCCTGATTTGACCTTGGAACCATTAGAAGGGGCTAGTATGATATCTTAATTTAGATTTTAATGACGGGTTCTAGCAAATACCCTTAGTGCCAAAATGCATGTAATTAACAACATTTGTCCCACCTTTTGGTGGCTATAGATCCATATATTGCCATTTGGGTTGACATCAGCACCAGATATTTTTTCTGTAATATCTGGTGGTCGATTAGTTAGTCAATTACCAGAAGGCCTAGAATGAGTTATCTGTTATTTTGATTGTCAAATTTGTAAAACTCATTGATGAATATTGTTCTGAAGTTATTTTCTTGTGACATATTTATGCAATTACTGTTTTTATTGGGAATAAGCCACAATTTAAGTTTAAAATAAGGTTATTTTTGACGTTCCAATTCCCACTTTGGAAATCGTTCTCAAAATACAATTAATAAATTCATTAATGAACATTCTGTGAATGAAGATTGTAATAATGAACATAAGAGGAAGAGGAAGAAGAGGATTGTGAGTATCGTCTTGTACGCAAGCTTATTTGACGTTTAGAAGGTTTTGTTTTTCAAAATTGTTTTCCGATTTTTTTTTTCTGTTTCTAGTCGTTATTAAATGTTTTTTTTTTAGATACCGATCACGACGCTATAGTGTCAATAACAAGCTTCTGTTTAAGAGGAGCTGGTAGTAAAACACATTATGAATATGAAGTTAGAATAAATGCAGTCGACGAAAGGTGGACTATTTTAAGGCGGTATAGTAGATTTAGAGATTTGCATATAGCAATGAAAGCTCGATATAGAGATAAGGTAAGTTGTAGTGTAATTTTTATTAGATAATTTAGTAATTGAAATATAACTACGTACAATTAAAAAACTTAATGGCAATAATATATCTCTATCTCTACAAGAAATCTCAAATTTAAAACAAATAGTTATTCCGCAGATCTAAGACTAGTAACTTTCTTAAGGTACTGGATCTGATGTAATCGGCTTTGGGCTGCATTATACAGAGTGTTTCAAAAAGGTATGTCATAAATTAAATCACGCATTCCGGGGACAAAAATAAATTGATTGAATCCATTTTACCTTAGTACAAAAGTGTACACAAAAAAAGTTACAGCCCTTTGAAGTTACAAAATAAAAATTGTTTTTGCATTATCTCCTAAACTACTTGACGTTTTGTAATAAAAATGGACGTTACTTTCTTGTTCTGAAACCTTTTTTCATAAGAAACAACAAAATCCCTAAATCCCCCAAACTTTTGAATATGTTCAAATCAAATAATTTTGTGGTATCATTAGTTTAACACACAATTTTTAAAACTTGTTTGCCTGTTATCACTTTTTCGAAAAACTAATTTTTTCCTAGTTGACCATAAAATTGCAATTAGTTTCTACGGATACAATAATTACAAACAGTTCCATCAATAATAGTCAATAATTTGAAGCTATCATTTATTGTGTGAATAAGATTAATATTAAAAATTTTGATATTGCAATGGCCTACACATTTCAAGAAATGGCAGATATGCATTTAACTTTGGGTAAGTTTGATATAAAGTTGGTATAAAGTCATCTGTACTCCACACCTAGACTCGTAACAGAAGCAAAGAAAACGAACATGCTGTCTCTCCTCCCATATCTGCCACCAGTCACACACTATCATTTTAAAAATCTCTGCATCAACACAGATGATTAGAACTAATCGAGTTAGAGTTAGTAAGAGTATTGAACATTCATCATCACCATTGGCTTTTACAACTCTTCGTGAGTTTTTGCCGCGTTTACTATTGCCTTCCATTGATTCCGATCCTGTGCTATTATTTCCCATGGCCTTACTTCCATCTTCTCCAGGTCTTCAATGACTGCATCTTTCCACCTTTTTCTAGGCCTTCCTGTCGATCTTCTACCATCTGGTCTTTCCAAAACACATTGCTAATCAGTCTGTCGTCATCACTCCGTACCACGTGGCCTGCCCATCTTAATCTATTATTGGCTTTTATGTATCTTACGATGTTTCCTTTCCCGAAGAGAGTCTCTATTTCATTGTTGTATCTGCTCCTCCATTCATTTGTCACGCTGTCCCTGCAAGGACCATATATATGCCATAATAGCTTATTGATTTCTTTCTTTCTCAATGTCCATGTTTCACTTCCATATGTCACTGCTGGTCGTATTATGGTTTTGTACATTTGGATTTTGGCACGTCTTGAGAGAAGCTTTGACCTCATTAGATGTTGAATGGCAAAGAATGATTTATTCCCCGCCAGTATTCGTATTTCAACCTCCCGTTCTCCTGTGTTTTCACTGGTAATTGTTGCTCCTAGGTATTTGAATTCTTTGACCACCTCAAAATTATGATCGTTTATGGTAATGTTTTGTCTTATTCGCTGTCGTTCCTTTTTTGATACGACCATGTATTTAGTTTTTTCTTCGTTTATTTTCAGGCCTACGCTTAGTGTTGCTTCTTCAAAGTTCGATACTATATCCTTAACTTCCAGTGTTGTCTGTGCTACTGCATCTACATCATCTGCAAATGCGAGAATAATCTTTGCTCCTCTGGCAGTTATGTCTGGTTTGACTCTGGTATAGATTTTTCACATTGCGTATTCCAATGCTAGGTTAAATAGTAATATGGACAGCGGGTCTCCCTGTCTGAGCCCGGTGCTTATGCCGAAAGCCTTTGAAGTTTTGCCTCCTATTCTAATTTGTGCAAAGGCATTGTTGACACACATTCGCGCAATCATGGTCAGCTTCTTTGGTACGCCTAACTCCATCATTGCACTCCACAGTTTTAAGCGATCTATGGAATCATATAATCAGTATTGAACATTGTTGTAATAATTTTTTTATTTGTTATTATTTAACTAAAATTCGAGTTTTGTCATACTTCACTTTTTAATAAATTTTTTCACCAAATATTTCACAGTAATAATGGATCAAGTCCAATTTTTTTTAAGAGTCTCCAATTATTTCCAAAAAGGTTATTTATTTAATATTACACATAGTTTAATTGTTTAAACTACATATTACATAAGAGGTTTTCACTTAGATTCGGTTCGTTGGTATATTATGTAATAGTGGAGAGCTTGTTAACTTTAACTCTAAATATCTCTGGCTTATGTATTATGCACATGATCCAATATGGTTCTGAACGCCTCATATATCATATTTTGCTAATAGCCTCGACGATTTGTTCATTTTGCATATCGAAACCTTGAGACTGTATATTTTTATTATCTTTATCTATATTTTTAGGTCTCGAACATACCTTTTCCTTCGAAAACTCTGTTCTCGAACACAGAAGCGGTAGCTCAGTCTCGAAAACGGCAGCTCGAGTTATATTTAAGAAGATTAATAGATACGTGCAAAAACCATCCATCCTGTCCATTGGCTTACGGAGGGCCTGTGACCAAAGTTGCCTTGATAAACTTCTCACCTTTCTTCCGAAAAGGACTTTTCGAAAACGGAAAATACGGCACCTCATGATCAAAGGTTCCAAGTAAGATGTTAATAATTTATTGTACATTGGATCCAATGTCGTTGTTTATTCAATTTTATTTTTTTATTGTTATTTCGTTCCGTGTAAATATTTTATTAGGTGTAGATTTTATTCAGTTTTATTTAGAGCAAAGCTCTTTTATTTATTTCACTACAGCTGCAGATTAATTTAAGTACTATTGTGCCACTGAAACGAAATTAAAGCTGCTGGGAAAAGAAGCAATAATATTTAAATTGTTTTGACTGAGATTTTAAAATTTTAATGTTAACATTTCTATATAAACTTTACAAATTAGAGCAGCAATAGAAGGTTATTTTAAAGATTTTTTTGTGTTAAATGACAAGGTTTACGTTGCAGGTCTGAAAAGTGTTTTATTAGCAATTTACCATCGGGATATCCTGCTTTGTTAATTAATTCGTTTTTGATCGATGGTCTAATCAACGTTATTTATTTATTCGGCTTCATTATTGCTGGGCATAGGTCTCCCTATAGGCCTCCCATGGTTATGGCACACGAAATGAAAGAGAAGAAAAATTATATAACTTTTAGAACAACAAAATTTATATGCCGTGAATACACACTTCAAGAAACCAGCAAACCGAAAATGGACGTGGATATCTCCCGATAAAAAGACGAAAAAACTAGATCGATTACTTCTTATCTGGGAACAGACATTTTTGAAGATTTAACTGCTCTCAATTGATTCACAACTGGCAGCGATCATCGCCTTTTAAGAGCAAGGATTCATATTAAACAGACAAAATCCACTAGAAACAGGCCACGTAATTATTGTAATCAGGTAGATCAAGCGAATACATCTACCTGGGACAGATAATGAAAGTTAACAAAGAAAATCAAACTGCTGAAATTACCAGAAGAATAAGGTTAGCATGGGCAGGATTTGGAATCCTGGGATCAGTGTATCCTCCCTATACTCACGTATGGTTCACAGATGTGAACACTCACCAAGTCTAATATGGATAAAATAGTAAAGGCACAAAGAGCGATGGAAAGATCAATGCTCGGGTTGAGACTTATCGACAAAAAAACAAACAAATGGATTCGAAGCAAAACCGAAGTAAAAGACGCAGGAGAACCTGCTGCTAAATTAAAATGGAGCTTCGCAGGATGCAATGCCCGACTAAAGGATAAAAGGTGGTACCACGAAATACAACAATGGAGACCATAGTTAGGAAAGAGAAGCAGAGGAAGACCACAAATGAGATAGGCTAATGACATTAAGAAGATCGGAGGACACGATTGAGATTAGAAACACAACATAGAAAACACTGGATTGATTTGGTGGAGGCCTATATCCAAAGTTGGATTACTTTGGGCTGAAGAAGAAGAAGAAAGGTCTCCCTGCTCTTTTCATCTGTCTCTGTCTTGTGTGGCCTACATCCAGTTACTAATAACACACTTCGTGTCGTCAGTCCATCTGGTTGGTAGGCATCCTCTGCTCAGTAGTGCTTCTTATCTTAGTTTTCACTCTAAAATACGTTTTGTCCATTGAATGTCTGATAATCTGGCGACATGTCCTGCCCAATTCCATTTTAGCGACGCGATTTTTTTGATAGCGTCTGTTGTTTTTGTTCTAGGACATATTTCTTCATTTGGTGTTCGGTATCTTAGAGACACCCAACATCTGGCGCTCCATAACCCTCTTGAGTCACGCGAATCTTGTTCACTACCTTTTTTGTTAGTTTTAATGTTTCCGCTCCATAAGTAAGTACAGGTAACAAACATTGGTCAAAGATTATCTATTATAAATTTTTACCTTAACAACAACTATAGGGTAAGAATTCAGTAGCTGTCAATAAAACTATATTTTACTCCACGACTTCAACATTTTATTTTATCATCGTCGATCGAGAAGAATCGGACAGAGGAAATTTGAAACAATTCGAAATTGGAATTATATTCGAATTTGGCCATTGATCGAACTTGTCAATCTCAAAACGTTCCGAAAACGAAAGAGTTCTTTTTAAATAAAATTTTTTGAAGTTTTACTTTTTTCACGAGTTTTCATTTGCACGCTCTGTAATTTTTTACTAATTACACAAGCATTTTGTGATAGGAAGATTAATTTGTGAAGATTTACTTCTATCAATTCTTGTCTTATATGTAATACCAGATCCTTTCGGAGAGTGCTGTAAAAATCTATAGGCTGACTTACTACGATCAACCCTTAAACAGATCCCGACTTAACTAAAAGGCATACTATTTCCTCTATTACATTGACCTTATTTTTCCCTACTTTTGTTTATCATGAGCTCATTTTTTTGACAAAAGATTTTCCATTATTCAACAAGTTCTTCTACATAACATACAATGGGCTTACGGCATGGCATAAAATTGTAATTATTTTTCCGCTTCTCTTAAAGTCTCTCTTCATTCAACCATATGGGTGTCCTATGTTAATCTAAAATATTTAAATACGACATAATTCATTTTAATTTTTGACAATTTTCCCCTAAGCTTTCTTTCGTTGAGCACAGCACTTTGTAAGGAAACCATTTATAATAGTTAAATTTGGTCAATTGCAGTTAGTAATTTGGGTATTTGGCACAGGTGTGAATAATTTTGACCAAATATCGATATGTAACGAAATAAATAAACATAAATATTGTTTTAGAGGAGTAAAATTAAGCAAAACTTTTGTGTGATCCTTTTTTGTTTTTTTTTAATAAATTTAATTAAGGTGACATATTAATGGAACAAAACTACAATACTTTCTTACTTTCTTCAGTTAATGCTGTTAAATAAATACTGAATTTACTTGTATTCCTAATATCATGCTTACCTGTTGACAATACTCTCTTGACAGATAACAACCACCAGCCAAAGTGGCATAAAGTGGCTAATAAATACAATAGTTTTTTAAATTAAAAGTAAAAATATTTCAAAATTGTGCGTTATAAGTGTAGAGAATATAATTCTTTTCCCTGTCATATAGAACTTGGCATGCCTGACATTTAATAAAAAAATGTGCTATCTAATTTTTAATATTTGACTATTAAAACTCACTATTACTATTTCTTAGCTTCATTTGTACTATTTCAGGATCACAGATTATGTAACATATCGCTTTTGGGCTGCAATAATGGCACAACTCAAAAAACACGCGTTTTAGACTAAGGTGCAAATATGAAAATATACATTATTGTAAGCAGCAATACTTTTACATTTCATAATTAAATATTAGGCCGTAAGATGGCAGAAGTGTCGCTAAATGATCCTTTAGAGAAGGTTTCAACTTGTAGATAATCTATGTTCAAGCAAACTAAAACATTTCTTATGATTTTCCTTAGCAATGAAAACTTTAAACCCACTTATCTCAAAACACGATTTTTTAAATTTTCCGATATTGCACCCCATGAGCGATATATTACTTTTTTTGCTTAACTTTTAAAACTTTTTTACGTTTAAGAATAACCAGTCGCCAATTCGACTTAGCCTGAGTAAATTGGTTTGGCAATTTTTTTTGCTGCACTACTGATTAGTTAAAACATTTATGGATCTTGATCTATGAGTCATGCAGTAAAAGTCCTACTAAAAATCGTACATAATCGTATCTATAGAAAGTGCGAAACAATCATCGGAGACGATCAGTTTGGATTCAGAGCCGGCATGGGAACGAGAGAAGCCCTGTTCAGTTTACTATTTCTCGCCCAAAAATACTACGATCAACAGAAAGATATATTTATATGCTTTATAGACTTCGAAAAAGCATTTGATAGAGTAAGACACGACCTACTATTAGAACGTTTGCAAGAAGTTGGTTTAGATGGAAAAGACATCAAATTCTTAAAAAACTTGTACTGGAACCAAAACGCCAGAGTTAGGATCGAAGGTTCCACATCCGCAGAAGTAGAAATTAGGAGAGGAGTTAGACAAGGATGTGTTCTGTCGCCTCTGCTGTTTAATCTTTACTCCGAGTTTCTATTTAAAGAAGCATTGGAGGATTCCAAGGATGGAGTCAATGTGAATGGCGTAAATATCAACAGTATCAGATACGCCGATGATACAGTGTTAATTGCGGATTCCGACTCAGGTCTACAACGACTCATGGACAAGACCAACTCGACCTGTGAGCAATTTGGTATGAAAATAAACATTAAAAAAACCAAAGTGATGTCAATCCGAAAAAACCAAAACGTACCTCAACCTTGCACAATAAATGGGCACATCTTAGAACAGGTCAATAGATTTAAGTACCTGGGATGTTGGATCGATAGCAGCCTAAATCCTGATCAAGAAATAAGATCGAGAATAGAACAGGCCAGAAAATCTTTCGAAAAAATAAAAAAAACTGCTTTGTGATTCTCGAATAAAACTCGAAATTCGACTACGTTTATCAAAATGCTACGTCTGGTCGACTCTTCTATATGCAGTTGAAATGTGGACCCTTAAAACATCAACCGTAAATAAATTGGAGGCCCTTGAAATGTGGATCTACCGGAGAATACTCAAAAATCTCATGGACATCGCATACCTCAAACGAAGAAGTGCTGCATAGAATAGGCAAGGAAAGAGAACTTTTTAACACAGTAAAAGTTAGAAAAACATCATACCTAGGCCACATACTGAGAAATAATAAGTACCAATATGCCCAACTTATAGTGAAAGGAAAAATCGAGGAAAAGAGAGGCCTAGGAAGGAAAAGACTATCGTGGCTCAGAAACATCCGACAATGGACAGGGCTAAATTTTGAACAGCTAATAAGAACAGCTGAAGATAGAGAAGAGTATAAAATTGTAGTAGCCAACCTCCATTGAGGAGAGGGCACTTTAAGAAGAAGAAGATCTATGATGCATGTTTTCATTGTACTTTGTGCTTATTGTCCCAGGCATGTTTGCATAGCTGTGATCTGTCAAAGTATCTGGTTTTGAAGTATGTCTCATGCTTGTTTATTCTGAAACTTAATGGTCTTGTAGTTTCTCCCACGTAGAAGTTATTGCATTCACAGTGTGTTTTATAGATGCAG